TTTCTGGACTACCCTCATATCTTCTGTACATTCTGGGCCGGATAAGCTACAGGTTACTCTCCCTGCACCATTCAACCAGCCGACTCAACTTCTGTCACTGTGTTGGCTCGGACCAATGATTGTACCGTCATTTGCAAATTTACACATTTTCACCTCAGTGAGATGGTCACAGGTCTAAGACACAAGTCTTTTTGGGTGAAATCCAATTCTAAGATCTCTCAAAACTAAAAAAAAGAGACGAACCTTGAAGACCTATACACCTATATCCCTGATGCTCTTTTTTAAATTATTTTTTATTTTTTTTAGGCCTAAATCATTTAATTAACATTTGATAACCACAATTTGAGTCATTTTAATATTCATTTTGGAAAATATTGAAGCAACGTCTACATTTTAAATCTACACATTTGTGTCATTTATGTTGTTTTTTTATATAAATAATCAATAAACTTCATAAAGGCCATGGTTTTCCTCTAGATAAACGTGAAACATTTTAAAGGTATGGTAAAATTTTTGCTAGAATAAATGCTTTTTTTTTTTTTTAACTACCCAGCATTTAAATACTATGAAACGAGTGGAATTTAACATTTGCATGTGCCAACAGTTCAATGATCTAATTGTCATGACATTTATCAGTCAAATCTAAATTTAGAAGCAATAGGATGACCTGAAATTATCTTATCTGGCTCTGGCAGTGTGTTGTAATTTGGTACTTCTTTAACTTATATTTAATTATTCAACCTTTTCATTTCTTGGAATGTAAAAATATCAGAATGGATCTACTCACCAGTCCACAAGCATGTATAGTTTAAACAGTGGAAAACTTCAGACACACACTCACAGAGTGGGGTCCTTGAAGTCAGGTACCCAGTCTCTGAAAATGTCAGTGTTTTAGATTGAATTTTGACCAAAGTAGCGGTGAAGGGGACAACTCTTTCATCCTATCATAGTATGGATACCATAGACAGGTGAGATTATATGAGGAAGCCATGGAAACCACCTTTCTCCATAAAGCAAATATGTCAACATGTCAGTCAGGGAGAGCAAAGTCTGACTCATTAGATAAGAGCTTGTCTGTCCCACCTTTGGCCCAGTTTTCTATCCTTCTCTCCCTCTCATTCTTCTGGGCTTCCCTTCCTGTCTAGAAATTAGATATTTTAAGGCAGAACTCAGACATGACAAAAAGAGGTATCGAGCTTATGCTCAGAGTGAATTTTTGATAAACAAAACAAAGCATTTCATCGTAGCATTTCAAAACAATTGTCATCTTGCTTTGTCACCTTTCATCTGATGCAATTACACTCATAGCTGAATCTAAACAGTTCCAATCTCCTTTTTACCAGATAAAATGTCTGACCCTTTACTTCAAAAATTAGCATACTGAATGAAAAATTTACAGAGAATTGTAATCATATCAGTTTATTTTTAGAAATTAATCCAAACTAAAATGTTTATTAAATACATAAGAAAGTCACACAAATGGGCAATTTCAATTAAAGATTAACATCATCAAAATGAAAATAAAAATGTTATCACAAATAAGAAAAAGGTACATGCTACATACAGTGGAGGTTTTAAAAGTCTAGACACCCCTATTAAAATGCTTTTTTTTAACACAAAAAGACCAAATCAGCATTTTAAAAGATTTTTTGGCAACCAGGTTGCAGTGGTCTAATGCCTACTGCAGAAATTCAGCTGAAACTCAACAAAAAGATTTGTTAAATTCAGTCTGCTTCCCCTATTACTTTGATATAACTTCATCTAAAACATTAGGAGACACATTCTTACAGAATTCCTCACATCAACTGGGTTCTAAGACAGCTCTTGTCCACAACATTTCTTCAGGTATATATAAATTATATGAACAGTCTTGTTGATTTTAATGTAAAGGGTTGCAAAAATGCTGAAAAAAGACCTCTTTCTGCATCTTTGGCTTTCTGGGTTTAGAGCTGTTCAGTATTTTCATAAGGCAACCTTAACAAATGATGCTACTACCACCAAATTAAACTATTAGTCTCCTGTTCTTCTGTAATGAGCAGAGCTGCTGCATTCTGTCATATATTTTGGAATTCTGGCCAACAGTTGAAATATCCTCAGACCACAAATTTATCAACAATGTTTTGGGATATTTTAGCCCGACCTGATATTTGGCCTCATGAGTTGACTTTTGGAAACCACTGCATTGTTTTAAAAGCATAACAGGAGGGATTTGAAGATAATTACCCTGGTCGGTGTAAACAAAAGTCCCTGTTAATTCTCTCCTTCAACATTAGGACGACTGACTAATTATTTTTCTTACATGTCGTCAGCATGCGGCTGTAGCGTGTTGGTGCGATGTGGATTCAGAGTCACAGTAGCTATGTGGCCGGTAATTGGATCCACATGAAAATGACTGATTCCATCTTCCTGACTGCTGTTCAGAGACACGGAGTCCAAATTGGACTGCTCTTGTTTTACCGCCAGCTTCCCCATCAGGTCTGTGATGTCTTCCAATCCTTGCTCTTCTGGGAAATGCTGGTTCAGTGAGTCTGATTCATCCTCGCTGGGGTAAGAAGGGTCGATAACATGCAGCACACGGGAAGCCTGGAGGTTCTGTAGCGACCGTGACTGGACTGGAGGAGAAGAGTTACAGGGAAAAAAATAAATGAGGTTAAGCCTCTTCGGGGCTCTATTTATTATTGTACTTTCTAAGCTTCAAGTGTTTGGCTTGGTGCAAAGTTTTGGATATGTTAAACTCCCACATCAAAGACTTTTAAAGTTTTAAGACCTTCTGCTGTAACAGATTCTGAATGCCCAGCTCAAAAAACCCATTTTCTTCCAGGGTGAAAAAGATGACAAGGAAAATCAAGTTTGATCCTTTTTACCCAGGCTTCTCTTTTCCTTTTGAAATACTCGACACTTTAAGCTTTTCAAGTTACGTTGAGTTGTTCCCCTCATTTCTCTTTACATCAAGCTTTATGCTCCAACAGTGCTGTGCTAAAGTGCATACTCGAGAGCCCACTCATAAGGAGTGCCATTATATCTAAACTTCAAACCAGTTTTAACCTAAGGTACTTGAAATGAGCACATCTAATTTTAGCCACATTTGTCATTGCGGAAATGGCATTTGTAGACAAAAAACAGTGAGTAAACTTTAAAATTTAGAAGATGATAGTTGTCTGCTTTGAATGCACTGCATAGTTAACAGATATGTCGCTTATAAATAAAAAGATATTGCTGTAAAGTGAACATATTTTCTTTTTTTTCTGTCGGTAAGAGGGAGATGCATCCTTTGAAGGTAGCTTTAAACTGACTAAAAAAAAGGTATAAGCAGTGTTTTAGTCTGAATTGTCCCTCTGGTTTCTGAGCACAGGTCCATAAACATACTTACACTGGAGCAGTGTCTTTGCAGACAATTGCCCTAAAGCAGTTTAATAGGATCTATTTTATGAAACTTTTTCACACCTGTTATCTGTTTTCTTTTGCATAAAATTAATAATACACATCAGAAATAACAAACATAGATGTACTAATTCCCTTCAAATCCAAGAAGAAGGGGAAACGTGTTTATTATATAGGTTACTTTTTGATATTACAAGGCTATCTGGCTCCTGCCTCCTTTAAACTGTATGTAAAACATCTAGCTGGAGGAATCATGCCAGAATGGCTTCCTCAATCAATAAGTTATATGGATTTTTTTTATCTACCAAATCTAAAAGACAGTGGACCATTTCTGGACTTTAATTGATTCATAAAAGCAGGAGATAAGAAGCACTGATTAAAGTTAAAACACATCAGGTTGAAAACATGGAAATATTCTAATATTTAAAGGGTAGCAGGATGCTTATATTCCCATCTCCTCCTGCCTTAATTTTTTCTCAGGTGACAGCCCTGCTCCTGCTGTTTTATAATCAGCAGCGACGATCCCGTCTGCTCTTCTCGTACTACTTCTTATTCTTCATGAATCAAATCCTCCAGCATTTATTAACTTTATGGTTTAAGCTGCTGTAAAATGCAAGGATGTTTAACTTTTTAAGTGAGAAACACATCAAACCTACTAATTTATTTTACATGGCCAATTGTGTCTGATCCTCTTCTGACACCTTTTTTTTAATAGTGTATCCTTTGCTTAAAAAAAACACTGTCCAGTATGTTTATAGGTTGTTTTTTCCATCTCCACACTAGCCTCAAGTCCTTTGTACCTTCTGAAAGATATTCTTCTTTATTTAGCTTATATCTTGGACAGGTTAACCCCAACCCTGCTAACAAAAATTATCTCCACATTACGATGCTTCCGCCAATATGTTTGATAAAAGGAATGATTTCTTCCAATGTTTTCTACTGAATGGTTCAATATAGCCTATGTCAAGGAACTTAACCATGGTTTATCTCATAACCGTGGATTCATGTTAACTTTTTCAGGTTTGCTCTTGTCTCTTGATGATGAATTGAACAGTACAATGTGAATAGATTTTATTTTTAGGGTTTTATTTACTGTATTTTTCCTCCTCACAATTGGATATACGTTCTTAAAAATGAATTGATGATTGTAGAGCCAATTTAATATGTTTGAAAAAGTTCAAGAGGTATGAATAATTTTGTAAAGCACTTAAGTAGAACCTGTAGTAACTTAAAATTTCAAGTAAACAGCAAGCCTTAATATGCGGGAGGCAGAATGTGAGTTTTTGGGGTTAAAACCATTCGCAGCCACAGCTTAAGCCTGTGGTTCTAATATTTTTTTTCTGCACTAGCTCCAAAGTTCTGGATTACTGGGCTATGCTAAACTGAATGGTACTTACTTCTGACTGGGCTGAAGTCACCCTCGCTGACCTTCGAATCTGAGAAGGGCTTGAGGTTGGGGAACAGGATGAGAGAGAAGGACAACAGAACCACCTAGAAAATGAAAACACAAGCACAGCGACATGGTAGATTGATGATCTTTTTTTCTGAGAATAATAGTTTTTATATTTTCTGCTGTGAAGGAATAACACAGCAGGGCCAATATTGTGCAAGTGGAGCCATATTCTATTGCTGTGGGTAAAATGGTGCATTTTCTTTTATATGAAGCAAACATTTTTCAGTCTTATGTTTCTGACATCAACAGCTTTAGTTGGCTATGACATTTCTAGGGACATTCTGAAATAAACAGCAAAATGTTGTGGCTACTCAGAAACAAAAGAAATGTACCAAAAGACATGTCCCAGTCTGGGCTGGCTTGTTGGAGGAGTTCATGACCATAGCTTGCAGCCTGCGCAGCTGCTCCATTAGAGACCTGTAGGCAAAAAGCAAACACAAAGAAAATGGAGAGAAAAAAAGGTTTCAAAGACATGAAACACAAGAGAAAGGGGACGAGGCATTTTCAGCGAAGGGAGAAATCAAATGTTCTAAGAAATCAGTGCAGAACAAATTGACAGAAATAAAAGCAGAAGTTCAATTTAAAATCTACTTACATGTTACATTTTTCCAGGTTGGACACCTTTCTCTGCAGCTCCTGGTTGTGAGCACTGCAAGCAGCCATTCTGAATGGAATAAAACAAAATGTAAAAAGGTGCTAAGAAAAAAAACTATATCAATCAAAAATAAGCTAGTTTCTTGTATTTACTAAAGGAGCCTAAAATGCATCTTTTTATCTTATTGTTATTTGACGTGCAAAGTGTTATTGAGGCCAATTTTTATGCAAACCATGACATAATTAAAACACCTTTCTTAAAGCCTGATATTTTAACTTACACATAGGTTTTCATCAGTCACAACATCACATATTAATACATTTATTATTGCAGTGAACAAAAATTGTTAGCTCATTTCAAGTTTAAGGTTTAGATTAGTCGTAAGAAACAAATATGACAAAAATAATATTAAAGTGAAAAAATGTATACTGTAGGTCTATGCAGCACTGTCAGTTCCTGATGTTGCGATGAAGGGGAATAAAAAACCTTTTCTGTTTTTTTCCATCAGTGAGCTTTGTATATTCTATTTTTCTCAAAATTCACATTACTCTTTTCTCCTCCAGCCTTGTTTTTATGCATTAATTTTACAATGTTCCTTTGCAAAATTGTAAAAATTGCATTAATTGAATGTTATGTTGTATTCTTAAACAGGTTGGTATGTAATATCATGAAAAACTGAAAGATACAGATCAATTAAATTCAGACACTAAAAAATGAAGAATAGATTAGATATGTTCCAATTATTTTTATCTTCTAGGAACTGTTAGTTGTGTTTAGGGCTGCAGCTAACGATTATTTTGGAAATATACTAATCTTTAGATTTTTTTTTTAAATCAAAAGGTTCCTTAAAGAAGATTTTTAGCGAAATCAGACCAAGTGAAAATAAAGCATTTCCACATGAGGAGTTCTGGATAGAGCATATTGACTAATTAAAAAGATTTTTATCTTAAATGCAAAATGTTTACAATTTTTTTTTTTTTTTTTACAATTTTGATATAGTTTACACTCTAAGTGGGTTGTTCTGTCAGCTTAAGGCACATTTTAGAGTCTCTAAACTCCAGTTAACGATTAACAATTACAAAATTAGTTGACGATTTAGAGTAATCGATTAATATGATTAAATATTTCAGCCCCAGTTGTGACAATTTCCAGCATCAGTTATTTTGTTTAGAGCTATTACATGCTTAATTTTATTTCCCCAAATAAAGTTCCTGACATTAAAGGTTTTAGATCCTGATAAATGTTTTTATATTGTGCATTTTTAATGATGCAATATGTCCTTTTAAAGTCTGCTGTTCTGAATGAACCTTGAAATATTTTTTCAATATGTACTCAACCATGATATTAATTCCTCAACGATTAATATTTGAGATTAATGAATAACTTTTCTGAAAATGACTTCTCAAATGGCAGCTGTCCTTTAATTAATTCTCTTTTTATATATTTCGAAAAAAGCGTCAATAAAAAACATCATCTAGCCCCAAACCATGCAGCTACACTTGCAAAGCTGTTGCTCTTTATTGGAAATGGTCTGCAGTGATTTATAATTGTCCGAGCCTAGTGTCAGGCTTCACTTTTTTATTTTTTTAGCCTCGGTGACCTAGTTAAGAAAAGATGCAAAGGTCCAGTTTTCTATCAGACCACCTGAATAACAATAAGATTAAAGGTTAACAATGAATATTTTTTCCAGTCACAAAGTAGTTGCTACTTTCTCAGCACTAACAAGGGGAGAAAATGTCAACATCAGACAAATCTCACACAATGGGACATTTATTTCCAGTTATGGCAAAACTCTTTCCAGACATAAATAATAACAAAAATGTTTAATAATTTAGGGAATGTAGTTAGTGCTTAAATTAGAGGACTTTGCACAAAAATATTTAATGTTATGCATGTTGTTGATGGAGTGTTATTCAACACCTTACCGGCTCTCCAGTCCATCAATATACTCCTTTTTCTTCTTCCTGCTCTCCTGTGCAGACTGCTTATTGCGAATCTTTCGGCGGATTTTCTTCAGAATCCTCTCCTCATACTGATGGACAGAGGAGAAAATATTTAGATTTCGGGACTTAAAGAAGACTGGACTCGGAGATGGTGAACTAATGGCAATTTACCTTTGTAAGAGGCAGCTGGGTAGGCAGGGTGACCCCCTCCTTTGCTAAAAGCTTCTTTTCATCATCGTTGAGAATCAGTTCTTCGACTGACTTTTGGGATGGCTTGGGGGGCTGTATGGGCAAATATGAATAACAACACAGGGAAAAAAATCACAAATGCTTCTGAATAACATTTCACTACTGTCTGCAACACCCATCCGTTCGCTAGAGGCTCACAGGAAATAGATTAATGAGTACAGAGTATCAGGCCAAATTCATCACCCTCATTTCATGGCCACTTCAAAGCAATTATGGTGTGAGAATCAGAGCTGGATTCTGCAACTCTCTCCATCTTATTAAACAGGGGTTTGGTAGAGGGAGGGGGGGTCTATTCTGAACACCTTGAGGATTTGCAAGCGGTTAACTCTGTTTGTGCTAACCAACTAAACTATGAAATGTGATGGAAGCAACTAACCCTTCATGTATCATATGTACTATGTTGATTTTTTAGCACTGTGGTCTCCTCAAATTAATGAGGGGAAATCATGAGAAATGATCCCATTTAGGAGGTTCAAGAAAAAAACATCAACCTCAGTATAGTGTCAACTTAGATCTTTGGTTTGCAACTCCCCTCGGAAACACAGCCCTTGCGTTTGTTGAATATTCAGTAGATCCTTCCGAAAATAGCAAAAGAGAGAAAAAAAAGACAGAACAAAACAACGAAAAAAAAAAAAGGATCTTATTTGCATTCTAAAGGCCTTCATTTGGGAATGGTGCATATTCTTTTGCTTGTTTTCTTAAAAAAGGACTGAATCAAACACTTGTGAGATGCAGCAGCCACCACCATCCCTTCCCCCACCTTTCACCACCACCACCTGTACCGTTTCTACTGACTTTGCCAAAAAGAACTGAGTCTGCACCTACCAGCTCTGGTGTGCCAGACAGCAGCAGATCTTTGACAGTGAGGGGGAAGCCAGGTGACAGTTTTGGTCGCTGCGCCTCTGATGGATACTGAGTAATCCTTGCTCTCCCGACTGGAAAGCTGAGCTCCCAGCCATCTGCACCCACACAGAGAGGCAAACATTGATAAGACATCAAGGGGATCGAAAATTATACTGTGAAAATAACAAAAAGACATGCACACTGCCATGTTGTCTTTCTGTGTTAAACAACAGGTATACGCACCAGACTTTATATCTTATCCCTAAAAAACTAGCAAACAGGAATTTATTCAGTTTATCCAAAATATGCCCTCATCTCAGACTGACTAGAGGTTTCATAGGTGTCATCCTCCACATTTTCTTGGCATTTTTAACAAATGTCTTCAGCATTTCCTTCTCTGACCAGAACAGTTAAAGACAAACTTAAAAGGTGTTGATTTTGAAGCCCAGGGTCCTTCCTCCCTGGGCACCTTCTCTGTCCATGTTTCACTTCTTTGTTGAAAGGGATACTGCTTTAGTAGGGTATGATGAAATCTAGGTTTGAAATAGACATCCAGTACTAACACTTTTTTAACAAACCTGTCTTCGTTTGTATTGCAAATGTATAGACTTTGGTTGAAACCCTTTTTAAAAAAAAAAAAATGTAAGCATGCATATTTGTCAGGTTTCAGTTATGTTTTTTCTTTTGAGTATCCAGTTTTGCTTTTCTCCTTGTTTTCTAGTTTTAGTGGGTTAATTCTTAGTTTATTGAGTTCTTCGGTTTTTTCTCAGTTACTGTCTTAGTCTTGGTTCTGTTATGTTTTCCTTTGAGTCTTCAGTTTTGCCTTACTCCTTGTTTTCTAGTGTTAATGGTTTTATTTTTATTTTTCTGTATTCTCTGGTCAAATCCTAGTTACTGTTTCAGTCTTGGTCCTGTTTTTGTTTTCTTTTGAGTATCCAAGTCTGCTTTACTCCTTGTTTTCTAATTTAAAGGGTTTAATTCTTATTTTGTTGTTATTTTCAGTCTTCCAGGTTTCTATTGGTTGCCCTCTGCTACCCTCTTATATTCTCCTTTTTCCCTAGATCTTTCCCTCTCTTGTTCTGTACACACTTGCTCCCAGTTTCCTCATTAGCCCTCCCTTTGTCTCAGTCTCCTTTAAAAGCCCTCTCTCTGCAGTTCCTCTTTGCTGGGTCCTCGTCTAACCACGTTTACCACCTCCAAATC